CCATGAACGAATATAAAGACAACTACATGACTTTGAGAAGCAGCACTAGAACATGGTAGAAATCTTGCAAACTATACACCCTTCAAATATTTTTGGAATGTGGAGGAAACCGTTTCCTGCAATCAGTAGTTGTCGCCTATTAAAAAGCAGCCAGGGCTAACCACTGAGCCACTACACTGTGATTACTGTCGTAGGGGTGAGTTCAATCAGGCAGTTCTGGTATTTGTTCACCTGGTGGTGCCATGTAAAAGATTGTTAGGCTTTGGAATTGGCAATCATGGCACCCTGTGCAACAGCGCATTTCGTATGTGTCCAGTTCATCACTCCCTACATCACGGCAGCTTGACTGACCCACGTGTTCTATAGGATCATGAGATAGGGTTATGTTCCCACCTATTGGACTGGGGTGCTCTTTATGATAGTTGGGTTTTTTCCAAAGAAATGGGAGCATCCTTTGGAAAAAATTAGCAAATATAAAGAATAGGAGAACCCTTTTCAAGACCTTTTAAGGGCAGCTTGGTAAGTTATCATTTCTACAGAATGGTGATTAAGGTACACTTTGGTGTTTTTGGCAGCAAAAGGAGAAGGACAGTGTGGAACCGTCACCATCGAAGCAGCAGGTCAGTGATAAACCCCCAAACAAGGTGGAGTCTGCACGAGTGGAGGCCTTCATTAAGAAACTGCCTCAGCTCCTTCCCAGAGGAGACTCCAGCAGTGTTCAAGTCACTTTGCCCATTACCGTTGCGACAATACCCTCTCAACCTGGAGGCACAGTCCCTGTCATGATTCTCCCCTCGGGCATGAGTCTGTCTTACCCAGAGTGTGAGAAAACATCAGTGTCGGTTGCTACCTCTTCCGCACCAACTCCTGTTGTTCAAAGAACACGACCTGCACCTCCTAAAAGAGCTCTTGATCTCTCCGCCTCAGCGTCTGCTGCTGGAGTGCCTATAAAACGCAAAAGAGGCCGACCCAGAAAACAAAGACCTGAAAATCCTGCTCCCCAAGTTCAGCCGTCCCCAACCCCAAATCCCACCCCTACTTTACTCTCCAGAGGAGTGATACAAAAGGCCTCGCCTTCCTGTCCATCCTCGGATCCCTCACAAGTAGTCGAAATTGTGTTCCAGGACCAACAAAGCCTGATGCTTAGCCAGCTTCCCACAATACAGGAAGTGGCAGGTGGTGAGCACAGAAGTGTGGTGGTTCAGAGTCAGCACACAGCAGAACCTGAGAGTCAGCCGTCCGTCCTGCTCATGCAAGGGCACACCCAGCCTGGATTTGAGCTGAGCCGAAGGATGGTCATCCAGCGGGCGCCGGTGTCAAGAGAAGCACGGCCTGCTCCCATCGAAGTGGTGCAATCAGCAACCCAGTACCTCCCACCACCAACGTTATCAGAGGACAGAGGAGAAGTCGAAATTACTCTGACTCCTGTGGAAGCACAGGTCAATTCCAAGATGAACTCATCTGTTCTCCAAAGCAACTTTGGCGCTCTTTCTGGAGAAACCCCAAAAACAGGAAGCCCATAAGCACAGCAGTCATCCCCTACTGGTAGATCTCAGTGTGGAACGCCTTTCCAATGCACACTAGCTTGTAGTCCAACTGAGGTGCACCGTCTTGGCTGAACATGATTGGGTATGTCTGCTTTCTATGTAAAACCATGTATAGAATTACAAGCCGTCATCGTTGCCTTCAAACAGCAACTACACTCAGTTCATCGAATGAGTAACTCTGAGCGCAAGTGGATGCCTGGAGTGTTTTTCAAGAGATTATAACATTAAGTGACCTAAACCAAATGATTTGACCGTGCTGGAAATGTAATATTCTCATCATAGTCTGATCTGGTCCATAAAAAGATAATCAGTAAAGATACTGAGAAAAGTCTAGTGCCATAAGCGGCAGTTGATTTTATGTTATTTAAGATTGCTCTGCTGTCTTTGCATGTTAGTTTTGTGAGCATGAGTGGAGACACTCGTGTGTTTTCTAGCCGTGTGGACGATAAAGTGGTATTACGGGTTTGCTTCTTCAGGGAAGCTCCTGCAGTTTCTTTGTTGTCATGAGTTTAGGGTTGAGTTACAATAATAGTTCTTTTTTTTTTTTTTTGCTGTAATCGATACACAGGAAATGACTACATCGAGTTGAAACGGCTGAGGTGTCACTAAAGGTTCATTCAACTCAGTGAAGGTGAATGGAAAACGATGACCTTTTACTGCATCCATTAACATATGCAAATTAGTTTGAGGTTTTGGGATTCGTAAAAGAAATTCTCCACCTTTTTTGGGTACAGTTGCTTTCAATAGCCCTTAGAGTATCTCGGCTAAATCTGAGCACAGCAGAAGCACTTGGATTCACAATAATCAGACTTTTGAATTATTGTTGTTATTTTACTATTATTAAACTTGACTTAAACCAAATAAAATAAAGTAAAATTTAGTCCATGGACTATACTCATTGGCTAGAAACTATACTCAAATCTAGGTATGGGATAATTTCTGCCATTTATTTCAAAAACAATATTAATGGGGTAAAGTAATTGATTTTTAAATCAAAATGTGTATAGCCTTTATAACCCGGGTTTCAAATCAGGCCACTGCCGTCAACTCCTTCTCTTATCTTTCCTTTCTTCTCGTCTTTAAAAAAAACTATATTTAAGAGAGTTCTGTTACTAGGGAAACTTTGAAACAGCTCAGCCAATCTCAAAATTTCAGCGTAACCAAAAGAAATGATAAATCCAAGCAATTTCCTCTGAGGGAAGTTTTGTGTCTTTTGGAGCATTCCTCGTTAGACTTTTTCACCCAATGCCACTGCTGATTCCTGGTTAAATAAAATGAAACCACATATTATTTAACCCATAATTTTTATATTTTCCAATATATTCTTACTCAATAAAGCTAGAAGTTTCAGATGGAAAAAAAATATCAAAGCTCCATTATTGTGAATAAAAATGCTTCTGGTTTAATCAAATTCAATAAGCAAAACATGCTTTCAGCCCAAGAATGACAGACAAGGTTGTAAAATGTTCTTAATAACTCTGAAAGAGCATTTTGTTGAAAGAAAAGTGGACTCTTCCTTTAAAAGCTCATGTGTTTGGTCCTGCCCAGTCAGTCTCAATGTAGTTTAGCACTTAATAGCTGTAAATAGATTATCTGTGCGTACAGAGGTGTTCACTCACTGGGAAAACACACCAGAGCGTCTTTAATACAGTCTGTTTTCAATTGTACAGCTATCAACAATATATTATTAATATAAAATAAACTTTAAATTAGTTTCTTGTAAAGAGTGCTCAGTCAGCCTAAAAGCATGCACTAAAATTAGATTTAACATTTGACACTATATTTAAATTCTAAAAGAAATATCTATTATTTATTTGTACAAATTTGAGTCACTACCTATTAGTAATGTAATTTTCTATATTTATAAAGAAACACATACAGATTTTACGCCAAACTTAGTCAAATTGTTCAGTCACATGGGAGTTTTAAAAAAGACAGAAATTGATTAAAAAAATGTATTCAAAATCTTAATGTAAATTAAATATACAAGAAGAGATTCGGAGAAGATTTAGATATTTATTCTGAACTGTAATGATATATGTGAGATGATAAATGAGTAACGGTGATTTCGTTACTGCAGAGTTATGGTGCTTTAGATAAAGCTAAACGGGTTTAACTACAAACACAACTGATTGTGATTTAACGACGAAGCGATTTCGCCAATCAGCAGTCTGACTGCATTTAATGTCGCGGCTCGCTGGTGCTGATCTGGGTACAGTTACTATGGTACAACGGTCTTTGACTCTGAGGAAACACAGCTGTTCAGTGTAAGAAAGATTTGATGTTGGGCTAACCAAAGTTAAACGATTACAGGACTTTTATTTTATAATATGATAATAGCAGCATCTGATTTAAATGCTTTTTTTCTGACCACAAATCAGCTCTGAACGTATTTGTTGGTTATAAAAGACTTTTTATGGTTCACAAAACCATTAATTAACCTTTCAACTCTGAGAATTTTGAGATTATAGACTTTTAAAAATGTATATATTATTTAAAAATGTCGTGGTTTTAAGTTAACAATGTTTCTTTTTTTTTGTATTGGTACAGTATATAATGTATTCATTTTGTTTTCCTGAGTATTTTTTTTATGTAGGTGAGTTTATTCTATAGATGTAGTGTGAGAAAAAAAGTATTTGACCCCATGCTTTTTATGTTTTCCACTGACGAATAAATGATGTCCTTAAATTAAATGGTAGAGTTAATTTAAAAAACACAAAAACTTTTTAAAAAGTACTTGAGCAACCAGCTGCACATTGTTGCCCATTACAAGACACCTCTCCACTGAAGCCATCAATCAAATCCAACATTTCCACCATGGCCAAGAGCTAAGAGCCATTCAAGGATGAGCTACATGACCTTCACCAGTCAGCTTGTGACAACAGGGTTCTGATGATGAGTGACGAGGTTCTAACCCAGAACCGAACTTTGTCCATATCCTCAAACTACATCTCGCAACTAAACACTCGTGAGAAGTGAGTTGGAAACTGAATCGCAAGACTAGGATTATTATTAAAAATTGGCACTGTGCACGTTTTTTTGTTCTTGGGTCCAAACAGACCGAAAAACACCCTTCTTGAACCAAAGCCAATGTTTATAGAGTCAGAACACCTACGACCAGCCTGCAACTCTTTCGGATCACGTTTTTGGTAGTTTATAATACCATGCACGAGAACCGTTTTGCCCACCACTTCGGGCTGTTGTGATTCCTAGAGATTATCTGCGAAGAGGAGTGGAACAAAATCCCAGGTGCTAACAACAAGATCAATATCTTTGTGCTTGTGATATGCCACAAAGTACCTCGAGTGAAGTCTATTTCTCACTGTAGCCCTTAAACCCCAATTAATCTCAGAATTCATCAGTCAAGTGTGTTCTGAAAGATCCTTTGGAACGGAAGTCTGTACGTGCAAAGTGAACGTGCAAAACCAAGGGGTAGGGCTAAGAGGTATTGGAACTTGATTATGGCTCAGTTGGTAGAGAATTGCGTTGCCTGCGCAAAGGTCGTGGGTTCAAATCCTAGGGAAAGTAAGAACTGACAAAAGACGTCATTCTTTCCTAAATGTAAGTTGCTTTGGATAAAATTTCTTACGGTTTAAATAAACCCACCATTAAATTTCTGGACCAATCTTTTTGTCGTCGGTGGACAAATACTTCACTGTAAAGAAACATAATGCCTCAGTACTGGCTCCTAAATCCAAGAATCAAGTAACCTCCATATTTTAATTTCTCACTGTTGTCCACTCAATGTGTGTGTGTCTTCAGATTCAAACACAATGAACTTCAATGCAGAAATGAGTGTTTGAAGGAAGTCAAGATTTCGTTTCTGTTAGCCATGAAGCATCATTCTGACACCTTGTATCCCATGGATAAATGCTAATTTCCCCAAATCTGTTTCCAGTTCAACCACACAAGGTTTTCGTAGCCTGCCCCACTGTCTTGAGTAGGGGGAGTGAACGACACTAAGATCCTGACGAGAGCAATCGTATTAGAAGTGAAACTTGCTCGACTGCTACGTAAAGCGGAGCTGATAAATGGGGTATTATTTGAGGATTGATGAGGAGAAAGGGTTTGAAAGATGTTTACAAGAGTTCTTCGATGTGATTGAACATTGTATCCTAAATGTTTTTGATTGCAGCGTCACCACAGAAATGTTCTGTACAACATAGTGCCTCATACAAACCACTGTGCTCTGTAAATAACCATTACTCTCACGGTTTCTCACTTCACTCTGAAGCATCGAGAGGATTGTTTGCTTTGACTCGCCAAAAGAGGGAAAACCAAATCGATGAGTTGGTGTTTGTTTCGATTAAAACCATCACTAGCTCATCGCAGAGTCATGTAGAACCTTTAGTTGTATCCTGTGGATTTTAAGTGCGTGTTGGTTTGTTGTGTGTCAGTACTGTGCCATGTTTTTCTTTGAGTTATCTTCAAGCATGGGTTGTGTATTGAACAAGCATCTAATCTCAGTTTTCTGGACAATATTTGAACCCTGGTGTTTGTCATGCACTTTATTTTCTCAATGAAAAGCACACAGGGGGAGAAAAAGAAGAAATGCAGCACCTCGTTTTCTACTCTTTTTGTATTTCATGTTTTTTTTTCCATGTCGAAATGTACAACTAGACATCTTCCATAGAAAAGAGAAATGAGATTATCTCAACTGTGAGCACATTTTCATAAATCAGCACTAATAAACAAAATGTCTGGTGTGTTTCGTAAAGGCGCAATGGTTGTGGGCTTTTAGTTTGCTTAACGACGAAGCTTGCGTAGAAACCAATGATCTTTGAGCTTACGTGATGGCTTCTCTCCTATTGGATGTCACTCTTGAAAATTGCATCTAATTTAAGCAAAGTTAGACTTGTCAAAATGCTATCTGCAAATTTCTTAAGACTTTTTAATAACACAGATTGAAATCCAAGCATCTTTTCATCCCATTTCCAAAATCCAAAGATATTTCTTCATAGTTATGTTTCACACACACACCGGCTGAGTTTGGGTCAGCCCATTGGAGTTGATTGGTTTTATTTAGGTTCATTGCTTATACATTACTTGTAAACACTCGTACTTGTGCACATATACCAATTATTGATTTATTACATTTTTAAAATGGAATTAAATGTGTTTAGAGCACAAGACTGAATATTTTTAATTAAAAACACCACTCACTCAGCTCAGAAGGGTTTTTATTAGCACAGCTAGCCAGATCCTGTCTTCACAGTGCTGCACAGATGATGGGTACGTGTACAAATCAACCAGAGACAGAAGCGCTGCGTAACGATATTAAAATCTAGTATCGAAACCTGATCATTTCCTACTTTGCTGATGGCATAGTTAGAGCTCGGTATAAGCGCTATAAAACTTGCTACCATTATTTGGTCCAGTATTTGGTTAATTTGGACACTGGTGAGGGTGGGGGAAAGGCAGACGTGGGCACAGCTGTAATGTAAAGGCAGGTTGGCATCAGGGTGCCAGCTTCGAAGCTGAGCTGGCTGCATCGAGACTGGGATGTGGTTGCGACGTGATGACATCATATTTAGAGAATACAACAATCGGATTCATCCTTCTTTTCCCGTCTCCGCTGTGCTCCAGGCTGTGAGGAGGCCTGACCTCGCATCTGCAGAGAGAATCGACTGAAATTCAAATATGATGCAGATAAAGTTATGACCTAGTTTAAACCCAGTAGCAGCTAGTGATCAAAGGAACAGAAAGAAACGTTTTCTTTAAAACATTGATAACAAAAATTAAGTTTCATGTGAGAAAAATGACTTCTGTAATTAGTAAATATTAATAATCGTCACATAACTCAAAAGCATACGGAGAGATCGTGCAGTTGGGTTTCCGGGGCTGCAGCTTGTTATTGTTATTGCTGGCTGTCTATGGATTAAGCCCCACCCCCATGCTGTCTCATTGGCTGTACTCCCTAACCCTGTTTAGTGCAGAAGTGATGTCACAATTGTCATTTTCTTATGACCAATGAGAAGACTTCCTGTTCAGTGGGTGGGTCTTAACCAGTCTGCAGAGGGGTACGTGGCTCGATCAGCCAATGACAGATGGACCTGTTATAAATCTTGGACTCTGCAGGCCGTGAAGCTCGATTCTGATTTGCTGCAGAAATTAGATTTGTTTTTTTTTTTAATTAAACTGCGACCCTTTTTGATCAACGCAGTTCATTCCTGACCAAACACAAGCTCCTTTGCTCTGAAATATTTACCCATTGATGATCACAGTGAAAAACATGTTTAGGCATCACCTGTGCAGGGGGAGCTGGTTGCTGCTGTTGCTGCTGCTGCTGGTGGTGGTTCTGTGGCTGCTGGTACTCCTCCTGCTGCAGCTGTCTGGCCAGCTCCAGGTCACTCATGGGACCGGAAGCTTCTCCCTGCTCCTGCTGCAGAGACATCGCCACCAGATAGTCCTGCAAACACACCAGGACCATGCTTAACACTAGAGTCATAGAGCTCACAGAGGAGATCAAAGCTGAGGAGGTGCGGGGACCTGGTCGATCTGCATTTGCTGCTGCTGTTGCGTCGAGGGCTGGCTGGCGACAGAAGGGGACTTCTGGGGAGGATGGCACAGTCGGAAATTGGAGTCACAGAAATTCCCGTCTCCCTCTACGTTATGAAGACTCTCCCACACCACACTCTCCTCCTGCAGGAAGCCCTGGTCAGTGACCAGCAGGTACAGATGGCCCTGTGGAACACACCGTGATTGTCATTCTAACAATGACGCATACATTCAGAACTGGTTTGATTATGTGTCAGAAAGCACGCCGTCCAACTACATCAACCGTTAATGATACCATTACTGGTGGCCCCAAGAACACCCACAGTGAAACATGGTGGGAGTGTCATGCTGCGGGGGTGTTTAAGTGCATTTGGTAGCATACCTCACTTGCTTCCAAATAATGAGCAAAAGCATGAACTTAACTGCCATGCACAAATGTCAGACTATAAAACTACGTCCGGAGTTTGTGCCAGAAGAAATGCACTCAGGGAGAATGGGTTATTGTTCTTCAGGAGATGTGCTTGACACCAAAGAAGCATGTAACTCTATTGTAATTGCTCAGAATATTATTGTTTTGGGTGCATTTTTGAGGGAATGAACATAAAAAAAAAACCTTTGAAAATGGTCTGGCCATCAAAAGTCGGAATTTCACCCTAAACAGGAAGTTTAGGCAATAACTCAGCAATACAATGTTTTGTCAGTAAACAGTTCATGTCTGAGCACATCTACAACAAAAACTACCAGCTATAGCGCCGCCAGGGGGCCACAGGAAGTACAACATTGTCACAAAAGATATCCAAAAACAAAAATCAAACTCATTCATAGCGCCCTCTGGAGGTATTTGTTGTAGTTTTAGTATTTTTCAGTCATTTCAGCAATCCTCAATTGAATAGACCTCTTAAATTAAGATGATCATGGGGCGATAAACTGGTCATTATAGGGAGATTTCAGAATTTTTAAGATTATTTATCGGACGCAGTCTTTTATGATTTTAATGAACTTTGAAAGGACAGTCAAACGATGGTTTTGGAAATTGTACAATATTTAAAACTAAATTTTGGGTTTGTGTATTGACCTTAGAGCCCAATTCACAGTGAAATCTTTGGAAATAATGTTCACAACTTTGCACACCATACACATGTGACTGTCCAAAATCAGGAAGTTGGGCACAAAAGTAAACCAGAGAACAATTGATCTCATTTTTAGCTTTAAATAATCACTTCTGTATTTGTTCATTGGTTGGGAACGCTGGGAAACACCTTGTGCTTGATCATGGTGCTGAAGTGGTTGTTTCTGAAGAACACAGAGAGTTCTCCCTCCTTGGCCGTGGTGTTGAGCTCGCACAGGCCGTGATACGACAGCTGGGTGGCTGTGGACTCCAGAAACTGCTCCGCCATCAAACCTAGAGACATACGCCATTATCAGAACGCTGAGATGTTCTTAACCGAGGCGTTTTTCCACAACGGGACCAGTACCTTCACTGACTTGGCTGCTGTCCGTCGAGTGCTTGAACTCGATGATCTTCTCCACCAGCTGGTTGTAGCTGAGTTTCCCCACGGCAGACACCACCTCTGGACTCTGAGAAAGAACAATAGCTTTGGGATCGAGAGGAATGCAACAACCTCGGGAATTCTTCGCTGACGAACCTGCGGATCCACGAGCCAGCCGTGGTAGAGCGGCATGTCGAGCAAGTCAAAGACGATGCACTCCGGGGTGTATTCGAAATCACAGACGCCGGTGAATCGAACGTTCACATCGAGACCCGTGGATAGCTTCGGGAGCACGGCCATCGCGTCGCTCATGTTCTGAGAAGAAATGCGAGCAGAATCAATCCTGGATGACCTCACATAACCTCAACTGAATCTCATTTCTGATCACGAAAACAAAAAAGGGATGAAACAACGGCTCGTTCGTTCTCAAAGGGATCACAAGGCTTCATTCACAGCGTCTGCTTGTATCTGGGGCTCTGTTCTCAGCACAATCTCTGCTTATCATGTTAATTACAGTGTGCTGCCGGGGATCTGCTGGAG